CGCGGAAGAATCGGCCTATTATGTCGAGCAGGGGACCTCTCGTTGGTAGTGCCAGATCCTAGCATCCTCCTAAAGTCCCTGGACACTATGGTGAAGAAGCCCCTGAACGATGACCCTGAGATCCTCTTCCGTATGCAAATGCTCCGCTATCTTGAAGATTGATTCCAACCCCACCGCGGATGGAGCGCTGGCAATCCATAAGGCGTACCTTGCAGAGTTTGAACAGATTGCCTCCAGGAGGACCAAGCCCCGTAATAACAACAATGAAGAAAACCAGCCGAGTCCTAAGGCGAGAACGGTGGCCGGTAAGAACTTGGACAAGGGCAATGGCGGCAAGGACGGCAATGGCGGCAAGGACGGCAATGGCGGCAAGGACGGCAATGGTGGCAAGGACGGTAAGGGAGGGAAGGACGGGAAGCAATGTCGTTACTTCCTCACCGATGAGGGCTGCCGGAGAGGGAAGGATTGCAGGTTCGAGCATGTGATGGACAAGGATAAAAGGGAGAGATGTTGGGTGCGCGTGGCAAAGGGACATACTTCAAAGTCATGCCCAACAAAGACCAAGGAGGGTTCAAGCTCTACAGGAAGGCAGCAGCATTGAACGCGGGGTCTTCTTCGTCGTTGGCAAGAAGGAATCTGGAGAATGTGATGGGCAAGTATGGCCTTATTGACAGCGGGGCGACCCATCATCTAAAGAACTGGAAGAAGCGAAGCGAGGCAGACAAGCGTAGTGTTGGCAGGGGACCAGCACGTCAGCCTTCCACAGACAGCCTCGGGGGTGATCCTGTCCGAGACTCAGCCCATAGTTCCCTTGGGTATGAGTTCGTGTGGAACCATAGAGGTTCTCGGCTGCATCACCCTACAAAGACCTCCGCACAAGTTTTTTACAAGAAGTTCATGTCCAGAGGTACGCGAGTGCGATGCATTGAGGCTGATCGCCGAGCTGGAGAATGAGGGTCAAAGAAGCCATGACCTCCTTGTCTACTTTGAAGACGGCAATAGAGGCGGCCCAGGACTACAAACCAGATGGCTGGAGGGACCACCTCAAGAAGTATGTCGGGTCCGGGTTGAAAGAGCACGGCGTTCGAGCCGTATTCTCAGCGCCTTTCATGAAAGAGATCCCCGCCGAGCAGAAGGTGAAGATCCTTGAAGCCTTCCCGCAGAGTGACAAGGAGGCTTGGTTGCTGCTAAAAAGGCTGCCATTGAACCGTGCTAAGCGAAGACAGTTGTGGCGGTGCCGGGATTGGGTGGTCCATCTTTTCTCTGGAAAAGGAGTGGTGGATGACCCTCTCAAGGCCGTAAAGGGGGCAATCTTTGAGATTGACTTGGTTGCAGGCATGGACCTGAAGAATGTGGAAGTTTACAGCCTGCTGCTGCTTTGGGCAGCAGCAGAGGGCCGTATCCGAGCGGTTATTGGTGGACCGCCTTGCCGTACCTTTACCCTTCTTCGCCATCGAGAAGATACCTGGGCAACCAAACGCTCCAAAGCCGGTGAGATCAGCCGAAAGCTTATGGGGATTGGAAGGTTTGAGCCAGTATGAGCAAGCTTTGGTCGAGGGCGACAACCAGCTTATTCTGAGGATGGTGTGGCTTTGGTTGGTCGCGGACACGGGAAGACAGACAGATTGGCATCGTGACCTTGGAGCATCCTGGAGATCCTAGAGATTACCTAGATGAAGGTAGTACTTTGTGGTCGGCATGTCCGTCGGTGTGGAGAACTCAGCTCCTTGAGATGTTGGCTGAAACCATGGATCTCCGGAAGTATGACTTCGACCAGGGAGCATACGGACATGAAGAAAAGAAGCCGACGGGCTTCTTGGCTAACATGGAGCTGGATCTACATCAAAGAGACCCCCGATTGCATCATCCTAAGCCGGTTTCTTCTGGAAGTATGGCAGTGTGGGCCTTGGGCTTTCGGAAGGGAATTGCAAGGGCCTTGGATGTTGGGGCAAAGCAGCAAGCAGTGCTGCTCCCGGTGGCAGTCAACAAGGTTATGTCCGAAAAGGAGCTGGCAGAATGGAAGGCTCATGTGGAAGCCGGACATTGGCCATATAGGAGAGACTGTGCAGTTTGTCTCTCAGCCTCGGGGACGGGAAGGCCGGCGAGAAAGGTCCTTCATAGGGACGCATATGTGATGAGTCTTGATGTTGCAGGCCTTTTCCGAGATGTTGGAAAGGACGAGAAGAGGGGCGGCAAGTACAGGTTCGCCTTGGCGGCAACGTATGTTTCTCCGAAGACTACCCGCGCTCCGGAAGATGCCCCTGTGCCTGACTTGGAAGAGGACTTGGACTTCTTGGAGCAAAGCGAGGAGGAAGATGAGCCAGGCCCGGGAGACTTGGCCGAAGATCCAGGCGCAGATGCTCAGGAGGAGGAATGGCTTCGCATAGCTGGAGACCTCCAAAACCCATGGAATTTCAGACCCTCCGCCTCGTGGTCCCCTTGAGAACCACAAGGGTAAAGAGTCCAGGACCTCTACATCTCGTTACGAGCTGCTGATTATCCTTTGGCGAGGATTCATAGTGATCGCGCAAAGGAGTTCCGGACAAAACAGTTGAGGAAGTGGTGCCGTGAACGAGATATCTATCAAACTTACACTGAAGGATTGGCGCCCTCACAGAACGCAGTTGCCGAGAACCATGTTAAGTGGTTGAAGTGCCGAGCAAGAGCCCTTCTACAAGATGCGCAGTTGGATAAGTCGTACTGGCCATGCGCTATGAACCACACCTGTCTTCTCCACAACAAAAGGGTCATGCGACAGAAAGCTCCGGGAATAAGGTTTGGGTCCAAGGTTTGGGTTCGATCCAAGGAGGAGCACCTGGGCCCGTTCGACAAAAGGTGGGTGGAAGGCGTGTTTCTTGGCCCGGCTGAGGATGTGCGCGAGGGCTTTGTCATTAAGCTCAAGGACGGCACCTGGTTCCGCACTTTGCATATGAGGGAGGCCGTGAATGTTTTGGACGAAAGTGAGGGTGTGGACATGGGCGACTTTGAGGCCGTGGATCCGCCACCTACAAGAAGGGTCACGGGAAAGACTCGTGCGACCAACCAGGAGGAGGAAGTGACAGAAGAGCTTCCTCAACTGACAACCCGGATAACGGGTAAGAAGCCCCTGGATGGCCCGGTACTTCAACGAGCTGCAGGACAACCTTCTGGAGACAGAAAGAAGTTCGTCGAGGATATCCTGAACAGTGACGTTTGGGATTCTAAAGAAGCAAAGGCCAAGAGGCCTCAACTGCAGGGAAGACAAGATGATGATCAACGATAGGTCACCTTCGGAGCTTTTCAACATAGAGGAGTAGTGGGCGTGACGAATGCGACCATCGAGTTCAGCGAGGTGGCGGCAAAGGTTGCCAAGTTGGTTCAGATGGATTCCCCTTGCGAGGTCTTCACTTCGGTTACCCTGACCAAGAATGCGATCATGCCGTTGCACCGGGACATCTTTAACTTGAACGGGTCTTTCAACTTGGTCTGCCCCCTAAAGATCGGAAAGGGCAGCGCTATATGGCAAGAAATGAAGTTTGGGGATGAGTTCTACGGCAACTTTGAGTTTCGGGAGGTGGACGGGAAGGAGGTTCCTGGTCAGAAAATGAGTGTGGAGAGGCCCGTGAAGGTCATCCCTCAGCGCTGGCATCAACCTATCCCGGGAGAAGGTCCAGATAGAGTGTTGGCAGTGGGACATACAATTGGCAGTTGGGCTAAATTGTCTTCAGAAGTTCGAGAGCAACTGGAGATGATTGGTTTTGTTGTTCCAAGAGAAGATGTGAAGGTCGCTGCAATGGTGGTGGAATGCGATGATGGCGAGGTCTTCTCCGCGAAGCAGGGCCAAATCCCAACACAGCAGGGCCAAATTCCAACACAGCAGGGCCAAATCCCGACACAGCAGTTCCAAATCCCGACACAGCAGTTCCAAATCCCGACACAGCAGGATCAGGTTTTGGTGTAACCAGATCAACAGCGACTGGGGCAGATCAAGGTGACAGCACGTTGGCTAATCCAGGGGGTCCAGAAGAAGGTGCTGAATGGATCCAGCAGATGGCGTATCTCACCCAGCAGGGGTTCACTTCGTCTAGTTCGGGGCCGGCAAATTCATTGAGAACTATAAGTACCTTTGAAAGTCACCCCAGATCCCGAGTACCTCTACCAGATCCTGAGTTGAATGCGTATTTCTTAGATCCAGGACAACAACAAGCAACAACAGCCGTCTTCATCATCTGCTACAGGAGATCAAGCAAGGCCAGTCACTGGTGGGCAGCGGGAAGATCGCATGGTCGTTCCTGGAGGGCGAGTCAATATGAAGTTGGCGAGGGAGATGCAATATGTCCCGGACAACCAGTCAGTTCCTGTTCAGTTGGTGGAAGAGCCGGTGTTTCCCTTGGAGGCAGACGAGAAAGCTGGAACGAGACGGAGGTACCGAGCTCATGAAAGAGGAGCTGGACATAGAGACCAAGCGGGAACAAGATGGCCTGGACTTTGATCATAAACATGAGTTTTATCGCAACCGTCTAAGGCAAGATGAACGAGCGGCTCATGAAGCTAGGGTTTCGAAGTTGATGGTGGTTCCGGACGTGGCCTTGAAAAAGGCGGCCAACGAGGACCTCTACACCGAGAACGTGGAGGAGTTACTGGAGAATCTGAAGGGGCCACTGACCGTGACCCACACCGTGGCTTTGGTAGAAGTGAAGAAGCATTTGGCAAAGTGGATTCCCAGCTTGGAAAAGGAGATTGGTAACCTCGAAGGCAATGGCACCTTGAAGAGGATACCGCTTGCCAAGGCGAAGGAGCTTCAGGACAAAGGCGAGTTGGTGATCGTGCCGGGGAAGACAGTGCATACAGTCAAGCCCCCCGACCCCGTGAAGGCGAATGAGGTCTCCAATGAGGAGGAGGCAACGCCAGCGTGGTTCAAGAGGAAATCACGGATGGTTATCTGCGGCAACTTCATAAAGAATGAAGTGGAGGTTTATGCTGCGGCTGCCAATGCTGAGTCAGTGAGGTGTGCCTTGTCAGTTGCAGCTAAGAAGAGGTGGCTGGCAGCAATCTCCGACATCAACCAGGCCTTCACCTTAACTCCGATCAGCGAGGCCGACACGAGATATGCCGTCCTGGCTCCAAAGGTCTTGGCAGAGGCTGGCTGTGTCCCTCCTGGCACTGCGTATCTTGCGGAAAGGCTTTTATATGGGCTAAGAGAAGCTCCTCGTCTATGGGGTGGATTTCGAGACAAGCGGTTCAGGAATGCCAAGATCAAGATTGGTGATGGTGTCTTTCGCCTAATCCAGTTGGAGACCGATGCGGCGGTTTGGAAGCTGGTAAGGGACGACCCCTTGAAGACGCTTGAAGAGTTTGCTACGGTCGAGGCCCTGGCTCTGGTCATCGTGTATGTTGACGACGTGATGTTCTTGGGGGATGAAGAGATGATCCTCGCGTTGTATGCCTGGGTGACTGAAGGCGCGGAGGGTGAACAGTGCGGGTGGAAGTGCTCGGCTCTGGAATTTGTCCGTGAAAAACCAGTAAGGTACTTGGGCATGGAGCTTAGGTGCAAGGTGAGGGCAAGTTCACGTTCTTCCATGCCAGTCAAGGAGGATACATTGAGGACCTTCTTCGAGAATACCAAGTTGAAGAAGGAGCAGTATCGAAAGTCCCCGCGACAAGAGAAACTATGCCGTTGGAGTTTGATGATGAAGAAGGGGCAATCGGCCTCACTCCCTCGGACGAGTCAGTTAGACTGGCCCAAAAGGCGGCAGGAGAGCTATTATGGCTCAGCACAAGGACGAGACCAGATATCTCGTTTGCTGTGTGTCATGTGTGTAGCTTGGCAACGAGGAGGCCAGAGGCTGCGCTCAAGCTTGCCGAGCTAGCAAGGAAATATCTTGCTGGCACTCGAACGCTAGGCCTTACCTTTGTTGGTGTTGGTGAACCGGTGACTGTGTACACAGACACGTCCTACGCGCCACAAGCTGGAAAAAGCCATGGCTGCATAGCAACTGCATTGTTTGGATCCTTTGTGATGTGGCGGAGCGCTAAGCAACCCGTCATAAGTCTTTCAGTTGCAGAAGCTGAATTAGACGAGGTGGTGGCGGGCTTTCAGCAGGGCTTGTCTATAAAGACTTGGATTGAGGAGGTGATTCCCAACATCGGTGTCCGGATGAAAGTGGATAATACCGCTGCCTTGGGACTGGCTTCAACCAGTCCTGGTTCTTGGCGGACAAGGCATCTGCGTGTCCGGGCAAGGTTCCTACGACAAGAAGCAGCCGAAGGGCGACTAGAGTTGCCCCTGGAGAAAGCCAAGCGGCGGACTTGGGAACGAAGCCGGTGCCAGCTCAGAGACTTCAACAGCTCTTGCAATTGTGGAGGATGAGTTCGGCAGAAGAGTTCCTGGGCGGTGTCTGCCAGGGTCCGCTAGATTCAGAGATCGCGATCAAGTTGATGACGGTGATCCTTGTTTGCAGTTCTTTGACTTGCGCCGAGGCCAAGACCCCCAATCAGAAGCCCTCATTGCAGGTAGACGGCAGTCTGGAGTTCTATGGCAGTATCTTGGTCTGTGGACTTGCTATGCTTGGGGTGTGGGAGTTCTTGCGTTGGCTAGTAAACAAGATGTGTTGTTTAAGAGATGAGACAGCGATACTTCGAGCTAGACGACTTCTACGTATCCGGGATCAGACTGCTCGGGCTCTACGTCATGAGTTGGCAGCCTTGACGCCAGAGGCTTCACTGGACGGAGAGGAAGAAGAAGGCGAACGTCAGGCGCCGTCGTCGGGCACGAGTGTCAGAAGTGTTGGTCATCCGGAACATGTACTACCTCGAGGACCAGCAGAGCCGGATTTTGCGATGCTGGGTCCTAACGATGTCACCGAGGCAGAAGCTAGGAGGCGAAACTACACGTTCAGATGTCTGCTTCCTCCTTTTTTCATGTCTGAGCATGGAGAACGAGTTCATGTTCGGCAAGATTGCCTTGGTCTTCGCAATGCCAATAAGGCAAAGCTTAAGAGAGTGCCGTGTTGCACGTGCTGCGCTGAGAAGTACCCCTTGTATTATAGAACGCCGGATGGAGATCCAATTTTGGGGTAGGAATGCAGCTGTGCATCGAGATGACATTTGCATCGTTCTCTCTTGACAAATGAGGAGGAGTGTTGATGCACAGAGGTGAGTGGCCCCAGGCGACCCTTGTAAAAGGCCTCCTAGAGTGGATCTCAGGACCCTGGTTGTATAGTTGCTCACCGTTGCCATTGGGGCTTTGAAAAGGGGTTGGCTACGAAAGGACCCTTGAGCCATCGAATGTACAGTTCATAATGCGTAATGCAAGGAGCAGTTACCAAACCAAGTGTCTTTTCGCTTGTGGTTCTAAAAAGTGTGCGATTCACTGTTGGTTTGCGCCATGGAACCGGATTCTGATCCTACCTACCTACAAGCCCTTAGTGCCCAACAGCTGCCTGCCAGTAAGCACTAAACCCTAAACCCTTCAAAGGACCCGAGGGAGGCCTCGATTTAAGGTCTAGGTACATATATGGGGGTTTCAGAAAATTAGGGGTACCTTTTTAGGGGTCCCAATATTAAGGATTACAATATATTTGGGTCTATTCTGGGGTCCCCTTATTTAGGGAAACTACCACATACATATGCATGGCTTTCATCTCGCCTTTGTAGCAAAAACAATCAAATATCTCAGATGCTACCGGCTCAACAAGCGTAGCGTGTGTGGTTTAGAGAAACCCATATATCCCCGTGGTTCGTCCGGGATCCCTATCTGAAACTCAGCTGGCATGCCCTTGCTGAACCTCTCTCTTATGACTTCTGAACATTGTACCGCTACTTTCTTCTTCTGATACATAGGGGTTTCTGCAGCCAGGGTACCCCTGAGGACCCTGGAAATTTATGCTGAAAATGATAATGAGGTGTGGTGATTAGGAGGTCCACCCCAAGCAGGGATCGCAATGGGAGCATTTTGCGAAACATGCGGCGGAGGCGTCTGGAACAAGAGGAATCTGACTCCTTCAGGGCCCTGTGCCTTGATATTAGGAAAACTCACAGTACTGCCACCAACATCATCATATTTACCTTAGGTGGACCCCCACCCAGTAATAGTGACTGTAAGGGATTCTTGAGATTTTCTTAGGCTCCTCGTATATTCTTGTTATACCATTCTTATTATACCACTATTACAGGGTGGGGGGTCCTCCTAATATCTACCAGAGTTGCTACTCCCAGTAATACTTGTCAGGATTCATCAGGAAAACTTACACCTCAAAGGCCTAACCCCATCCTCAACCAGAGCCGTTGACATTTGTGAACGCTGAAACCAACCGAAAGCCCAAAAGAAATTTTAGTCCGAAACCCGGAACCCTAAACCCTTAAGTACCAGCTGAAACCCTGAACCCCAAACACCCGAAACCCAAAACCCTAAACCCCTACTTGAAACCCTGAACCCCAAATCCTCCTGCAGCCCTACAACTCCAGACGCCTGAACCCCTTGTTACGGGGGCCGAAAACATTGCTGATATTAGGGTTCTAGATGCCTTATGTAATTATAGCAAAGGGCATAGGATACCTCAAGGACACCTCAAACTTGTATTGGCAAGTAATTAGGCCCCTACATTACCCCAAACCAACCACCCAGACCCCCGAATTCTCAGGTATGGGCCAGGCAGTTGTCCTGATGGCTTTCTCCTTCTCATCCACTACCTTATCTGGATGGCACCTTGCATCTATCATGGATTCGCTCTTAACTCCCCGTTAATTAAGGTTGTTTAGGGTTTGAGACCTCATGCTTCTTGTTGGTTTCCGAAAAAGCGGAGCCCCAATTGTAGGAAACCGCCTGATGTTCAGGGTTGGGGCTTTGGGCTTTGCATCCATGGCGTGGGCTTCGGAAATTCGACTTCAGAAGAATTGGGCTCAATACAGGCTATGAGAGAGTAGATTTGTTGGTAGCTCCACTTACCAATGCAGGCTCCTAAAACATACCGAAAGCACTATGTCGGGAAAGTGGAGTTTTTGGCGGGGGGGATTAGGAACTCAACTTGCTTCATTGTATGAGTATACTAGAACCCGCACAAGCAGCAAGGCACCTTTTCTGCTTGTTCAGACACCCGGGTGAGGGCTTAAGCGTGCATCCTGCGCTCCTTTGAAAGTTCGAGACATGATCGTGGTGACTCCAGGTACGCCTGTACGGCTACCTGACGTCAGTCGCCGTTGTAAGGGACATTGGCCGTGATGGTGTAGAAGCTTGAATAAATTCAAAGATCATCCCCTTGCAACATCTGTACAGCTATGGTATGGTACACATTGGTACACCAAAAAATGGCCATATTAGTTCCTCAGGCCCATGCATGGTTTGGAGGTAGTAAAGCCGCCAACCCCGCTTGCCTCTCCTTTCCCCAGATCATCACTCTCCTTAAGCTGAAGAATTTACTTCAAATGACTTACTGGGTCATATGCGAAATGCGTAGAAGCGTCAGGAGAAGCAGGAGAAACCACTATCAATTGCTCCTGACTCCATCCCTGAACCCTAAATCGGATTGCTTCTCAGGAGCTTAGGTTATGTTACCACTATAGCGACACCATGTCATTCTGCATATACCAATATCATATCATGTATTCATTGTAGTAAATTACTCTGACTTCCTGATCAGCAAGCCAGTCTACCGAACAGCCCCGGTGGCCTGAGGCGTTGCTCTCTCAAGAGCTTCTTTAACTCGGAACGCTCCTTCTTGTCGTACTTGGCTTGGTACAACCTCAAACTGTCAGCAGTACGCCCCAAGTCTGCATGTAACATCAAGGGAAATTCTGGGGGTTTAGGCGGTTGCCGTGATAACGCAAATGTCCTGCTGCCAGGACGTATCGCCTTTCAGTCCCAAACGCGAAGTGCCCTCATGTAGCAGGGCACTATTGCGGTTTTGTGGGAAACTTGTGCTAATTCATCGGATGGTTCTATAAGTCTCGAAGGCTGGGTAAGAAGGCTTTGGGTTTGGGGTTCAGAGCCCTACGCCCCAACCCTAAACAATAAGGCTTTTTAAGGGCTTAGGGCTTACGTGGAGGTTCAGGGTAATTGGAAGCCAACAATGGATAAGCAACTGGACAAGAAAACGGAAAATCAGATGGACACCATGGATTCAAAGGGATGTATTTGTGGCCATCGCCAACTTATATATGGGACTTATAACATATGACGTAACTTGCCAAAACTGAATAGGGCACCTAGGGGGCTTCTTGTTGGGCTGGTGAAAGATCAATTATGGTGGGGTCACACGACCACCCGGAACCGCCAGAAAGGATTCACAAGGGGCTGCCATGAATTTGGCCTGATAAGATGTTTTCTCACAAGCCCCTTTTCGCAACACCACGGCATGCAGGGGGACTTGCTTCGTTGTCAGCGCATGGGTTGTTTATGCTGACAACTTTGCTTGCAAAGCGTCAGTCAGGCCTCACGCCATTGCCAGTCATACTACTGCTAAAATTACTATTGCTACAAAGAATAATATTACTAGGAAGAACAAAATCCTCGTTAGAAGCATACAACTAGCAACCCTAAACCCTAAATCCTTATCCCTACACCCTTAACCCTAAACCCTAAACCCCTATCCCTACACCCTTAACCCTAAACCCTAAATCCTTATCCCTAAACCCTTAACACTAAACCCTAAACCCTTAACCCTAAACCCTTATCCCTACACCAATACTGGTGGCGATTGAGGCATGCTATGGTCAGAATGATAAGCATCCTAAGGCTCCGTGCTGCCCACAGATGCTGCCTGGCCTGGGACCCTTCCCAGAGACTCTTTTATAAGTGTTCTGTAGGGGTTTTATATGGGTCAAAATTATGGGGTACCCTAAAGGGGAGATATAAAGGGTTATATAGGGATATATAGGGTTTAGGGTTTAGGGTATTTCGTATATAGGTTATATAGGGGTTAAATAAGGATAATGGCCTATTTGGGGTTTAGGGCGTTGAGAAGAATCCATCATGGCAGTAGTCCCTGCATAAGCCTGTTATGGTCACTGTAACCTTCCCAACTGATAAGGGGTTATTGGGCTACCCCAAGGCCTGAAATCAGGACCCTAGGACTATCACCTCACAGTCATAGGGTCCTTGTTACACGTGTTGGGGTTCTAGGATAGATTTAGGAGCCTTATGAAAAATCAATTCTTTTTATGGCTTTACTACAAGGTATATGTGTATGTACATATACATATATAATTACTGTATCATCTAGCTATATATGTATGAGGGTCCATAATAACCTAAACGCTAAACCCTAAACCTAAGCCCGAATCCCAGTAGTGCAGCAATGCCGCGTCTTCTGGATGTCAACGCAGATCTGGCTCGACTCCGCCTCTGCCAGATCAGACTAGAGGTTTGTAAGTTTCAAGTTGGGTTCAGGGTTTAGGGTTTAGGAATCCCCCTTCTTTAGGGGGTATATAGGGATATATGGGGTTTAGGCTTTTATTGGGTCAATCCACCTACTTCCATGGGTCTCTAGTAGGGAGTGTATAGGGATACATAGGGTTTAGGCTTTAATCGGGTCAATCCCCCACCCAGTAATGGGTACCACAAGGGACTATTGTAGGTATATTCAGGCCCTATGAACTCCATATTAAGGAGCTTTTACCTTAGGGGGGCTCTATCTAACATACAAGTGGGCTCCCTGATGTCTAGTCGTAAGGGCCTGCTTTACGAGGTTCGGCTATGTGAGATGTCGGGGGCGAAATGATTGATAAAGAGCCCGGTGAAAAAAAGAACGTGGAAATGGAAGCTGGGTGGGCATAAGAATTTGCAGGGATTGAAGGTACTGGCTTGTTTGGCATTTCAATATTGTCTGGGGTGCATTCTACTTTGGCTCTATCTATAAGTACTACAAGGATATGATTTATGTCATGTTTCAGTCTTTAACATTACGGGATCCACTTCGGGGGCCTCACAAACTCTAAGGGCTCAAGGGTGGATCCGGTAAGGTTTAGGGTTTAGGGTGCAGGGTAGGATAAACCCTTTCTGTGGGTCACCGAATCATTGTACAGCTGGAGCACTTGTAGTAGGCCAGACCGGGCCAAGCTCATAGATCGTATTATGAGGCGCCAAGCTCATAGATCGTTTGCACTTTTAGGCTGGGCGTAAGAGTGTAGAGGATCGATAGGAATTCCAAGCTCACATAAATCTCACTTTGAAGTCTGCAGGGGCAACTGCAAAAGAGCAAGAATCCTTGGACCGCATAGAACCCCTCAAGCCAACCGCATGATTTACAGCACCTCCATGGCATTGAGAAGAAAAAATTGACCCTGAACACAAGACCCGTGTCTGATAATGAGGCCACCACGGACCCCGGAAGCACATGGTCCCTTAAAAATTAAGAACAAATTAGGAATTCTTGCCGCTTGTCAAAGCTTTTTAGGGCTGTAATTTTGTTGGGGTGGATGCCTTTTGGGGGGCCCAATTTTGTCCTGTGATGATCCTGATCTCAGATGTGCCTGCAACGGGAAAGCTGGCTCCTTCACAGCGATTTAGGGTTTAGGGGTTCGCACTGAGGGTAAGCGGCTTAAGTGGCTTAAGGTTTGGTTAACATTTGTGGGTGTAGCGCTGTTGTTCCATTACCAGAAGTACAGCTGCTGCTGATTATGATGATGTTGATGATGATGATGATGATGATGATGTCTTCTGCTTTTTTCTCGCAAATATCAATGCATTCCAATCCTTATCATTTATCGTCTGCTAACTGCTACGAATCATAATCCATAACCCTGGGAATAAGACACAAGCAAGGTAGTAATGCTAGTGCTCGCAAGAATTGCAATTGCGTAAAGAAGGCACCATGATGGCAACGGCGATATGAGGCAAGGGCATGACATGTGATATCCCCAGAAGGACGCCAGCACAAGTAGGCTCTTCACAAAAGACCATAACACAACCCTAGCCCTGAGCTCCAAACCCCAAGCCTGCGCACCGTAACCTCGCGCTGAACGCAACACCTTATCTCTCAACCCTGCATCGTAAACCAGAATTCTGCGCCCTCAAACCTGCACCCTTCTGACCCTCAACCCGAAGCTCCAAACCCATACGCAGTCTAATACACCCCCCCACGGCCCTAAAATCTTTAAAGCTTCTAGAACCCCTGAAAATATCAGGGGGCGGAGGGCTTCTTGAAATATTCCCCCTATGATAGAACGGCACTCTTTGGGGCTATTCATGATTATGGGCATCTGAAGGTTATTCGTGGGGGAGGAGTTATTTCCTAAAGCCTAAACATGGAACTACCTCATGCTATTGGCTCCTTGGAGGGCCATGGTATAGTCCAGTCCGGCCCAACGTTCGCACCTCCGGCATTTCAGGTTCAAGCCTGGGGCTTACGGTGCGGGGTGTAAGGTTTGTGGCGTGGAGTTTGCGGGGTGGGGTTTAGGGTGTGGGCCTTAGCGTTGGGGATTTACCGTGTGGGGTATAGGGCGTACCCGAGCACCCCAAAAGTATCTTCAGTAGGGGATGGGATCATCTGTCTAAAGTCTAAAGCCCACGCCACCCAAAGCTAGCCCGCTTGGGCAACTTGCTAAGAGTTAGAATCAGATCCTGCTACTGAAAGCTACAAAGCAGGTCGCAGCCTAAAACCAATGGCCTGGACCTCCACGCAACCCCAGCGCAGCTGCCGAATTTACTGGCACATCAACAGTTAGCCTTCATAGGGCTGTATACATACTACACATACCTACGTACATATCTCTCTGCAAGACATAGGTGTTTCCACTGGCTACCAACCCAGAGAGCCTCGTGCCCTGAACTACGCAATATTCCCTGAAGTATACCAGGATCCCTCACCTGATTCAAGGTATATTCTTCACTCCAGCCCTAAACCCTAAACCCTAAACCCTCGACCCTGAACCCCAAACCCTAAACCCCTGGCCTCCATGCAGCCCTGCCACCGGAGACCGGCGCCGGGCTCGGCCCACGAACTTCTCTTGGGCAGGCTTCACCTGGGCTTAGGGCTTCTTAGGATTTAGGGTTCAGGGTTTATTAGGGTTGCATCAGGGGGAGCGGGGGAGTGGACCCCTCCATTTAGAAAACGGGTTTAAGAGTACACGTGAACCCTCTATAAGGGCTGGGGTGCCAAACTAAGAAATGTTAATTACAAGCAATTTCTACGATTTAGCGTCACTTCTTAAACGCAACCTGGAACCTTTGAGGAGCTACGCGCCACCTGCCTTTTTCTAACCTCAAAGTGGGAGTTTTCTGACATCTCTGACATCCCAC